TCCCCGGGCCGAGAGCGGCACCGGGGCGTCCGCGCGAGGGGGCCGTCTGCGCCCGGGTTGGGGGCGTCTGGCTCATACAGGAAGCAGCGGCGACTCGAGGCCCGCGCAGCCTGTTTTCCTGTTGGCGTTCGCGCCCCGAGGATCAGCAGCGGGAACACCCGAGCGGGTTCCCGCAGAGCGGTGGCGCACGGGCCTTGCGGGGTGTTTCCCGCCTCAGTCAGGGCCGGGGGCCGGGGGCGCGGGCAGGTCAGCAGGCTGCGCCGGGGCCCTGTGCTCTGGGGTGACGCGGCCTCCCGGAGCGGCTGCGCGGGTGGCCTGAGCGCGGGGCCCGCGCTGCGGCCTGTGGTGCGGCGTCCTCCGAAGACTCCGCCCTGGGCCCCAAGGCCGTCCACCGCACTTGCTCAGCGTAGTGACCGCCCCTTTGCTGTGAGCGTCCGGTGTCTTCCGCGACTTTGGTGTGTGGGGAGCGATGGCCACAGCGGTTCCGGGGGACAGAACGCCTGGGCCCCGCAGGCAGGGCGCACCCCGCGCCGGGCCGGTGCTTTGCCTCGCCGCCAGCCCTCCCGGGGGCGGCTGTGTGTGACCTTGCGCGTAGAGATGCTAGAGCCGCTTCAGGAATGTCCTGCTTGTGGGCTGAGTCAGAGCCGAGAACCCGGAAACGAGATTCTCACGCCGGCGGGCATGGGAAGCCCAGGTGTTGGGCCCGTGGCCCGGCGCCCCGAAGGCAGTGAGCAGCGAGCCCTCACGCTGCAGTCCCGCCGCGGCCCCCCACCAGCCCCATTGACCCGCAGGCCCATGAACACGCTGACGCTAACGGGCCAGTTCAGTTTCGCGGAAATCCACTCCTGGGTGGTGTTTTGCCTGCCGGAAGTCCCCGAGAAGCCTCCGGCGGGGGAAAGCGCCACGTTCCACTTCCAGAACACCTTCCTGGACACCCAGCTGGAAAGCACATACAGGTGAGCGGCCGTCGCCGTTCGCGGGTGCTCGGCGAGCGGCGCCCTCGGTGTGTGCGTCTGAAGCCGGGGGCCTGTCCAGGGGAGGGGCCGGGCCGGC